GAACACAATGAAACAATAGGATTTTTCAGAGTGGCTAATTAACAAAGCAACTAGATGAACAGAGTACAAAGAGAGTTGATGTGATACAACATGTGCAGCTGTCTGAGGGGACGGCATTAAAATATACAATCCTAAATAACAGCAGTACATAGGAGCAGTTTGGGGCATCGAGAGCTCCAGCTTGGCCTCTATCCAACAGTTTGGCTCAACAAGCACACTACCTGTGCTCTGCCCCTCCTCATCACCACCTGCTGATGTCATTGCCAAAGCTGATAGGAAATGGAGACAGAAGGAGCCCTTCCAGCAGGGGTGTGATCCAGCAGAGAAGAGCATCTGAAAAACATGTGGACCCTGCTGCTCCCTAGCACAAGCCTGCTAGTGTCTGTCTCCGTTTTGTTATTCAAGCATATTTATTCTCTTTTGCATCAGTGGATTACAGACTGACGGAGCAGGGGGAGACGGCTGGGGTCGAGAGAAATTTAAGAAGCCTACTCAGCCAGGAACTGAGGTACATACGCATCAGCTGTTCTTACTTTGAAAGCTTGAAGCTGCTGTGCAACGCTTGTGCTGTAACTCTAGGCCTGGTACATCTTAAATTACAGATGCAGTTCAGTTACAAAAACACAGCAGCACCGCTGGAGACCAGGAGAAAGGGTCAGTCTGGGAAACACACGTGCACAATACAGTGTTGGCTACAATTTCATCAAAACCAGACTAAACCTGTTAGCTGTGTCTGTCTTGGTACTAGAAAAGCAATGGCAAAAATGAGACAAGGATGTAGAGGTATTTCCGATTACAAGAAGTCACAGTAAATGTCCATGTTTGCCGCAGGTTCTGTTTTGTCCTGTGAGCCTGGCAAACCAATAGACACAGTAATGTTGAGGTGATGGTGATCCCAAGGCAGACTGACTGCACAGCAGCTAAATTACTGTCTCAATCTCTCCAGTGGTGTTAGCCCCGACATTCATCCCTGCAAGAAATCCTCCTCTGCACAACAGCATTTCTCACTTTCATATACTCTGTAATCCCTGTAATACACCGTGTGTAAATTGTAATCCAGGCTGAAAGGCACCTTAATAGTGTCCTTTCTTGATGTTGACATATTCAACTTACTAGAGTGTTAATACAGTATAAAGTACAGCACTGATGCGTTACACTGCCTTTGCTGGCAGTGAATACTCTGAGTACCTCTGGAAGCAGGAATCCTTCCAGTTTAATGGAATATGAGAAAAATCACACAGCTTTAAAACAAAGCGTTGTAATAAGGCACATAAACCCATTTTAAATTGTTCACAAATTTCAGTACAAGTTACTAATCTGGGCCTAGAGAGACCATGAAAACATTACCTGCATAATTCCAGTTCACTGACACAACGTACAGCTTAATAAACAACTTTTGACACTCCCATTAGTTAAGCAGCAGGTTTCCACTGTAATAATCAACCAGGAGCAGAGCACTTCTTACAATATGGCAATAAACATCTAACTAGCTTCTACTCCAAACAAAGACCAGTTTACCAATTCGTTTGAGGAAAGCAGCTATCTGTTAACAGTTTGGTGTTTCCAGTCTGAACGACAGTCACTGGCAACGGTGTTGTGAGTAAAAACAAATGCCTGGTTGTTGCTTGTTGTGTAAGCTCCATTCAAGCCTGTATTATCATGACACTGATGATGGCACTGTGGGAGGCAGAACACCTGAGTTTAACACTACCACCGCCATGAAGCTATAATAATATACAATCATTTCAACTATTAGAGAGCAGAAATAAAGCAATAACATAGAAACAGTGTGTCTGGGGTACTTAATACTTATGAGCTTCTCACTGTATTTTGTCATGTTTAAGTTAATTTTCTTTAATATTGCCATTGTTTCTGGTAGTTTGACTGCAAACCTGTAAAACGCAGTGCCCTTTCTAAATCTATCCCAAGATGAAAGTGGTTATTTTTTGGTAAGGGGAAACACCTGATGCCCACCCTCCTGCACTTCTCATCAGTGTGACCTTGTCCCGTCCACCAGGGACACTGTCATTCATAATGTGGTATCCGAGTGGTGCAACACTTGCAGCGACACCGCTGTGACTAATCTGATTGATAATGTGGGATCTGCCAAGTCTAGACCGGGACAGTGTTTGGAGAGAGTAAGATCCACAGTGACACCACGACAGACGACCAGTCACAAATTCAGCACACAGCTTTGAGCGTTTTTAGCTAAAGGTTTCCTGCCCAAACTCAAGCTGACATGAAATCACAACAAAAATCATATTAATGTTCCTTTAATTGATCTACAGGTACAGCTTGGGTATTGCTGTACTCAGCAATTAGTTTATGGCATTAACCTGTTCCTTTTCAGAATATCCAGGTACAGTGTACAAGGATAACACCCATACCTACCAGGGCTCAGGTGTTTCATGCGTATTGCATGAATGGATTACATTCATTAAGCTAAGCTATCCGGTTAGCATTTCTTTAGTTGTTTAAGATCGGTTATTTTTCAGGTAAGGCGTCGAGACGGGGCTCATTTTAATGTAAATAGCTAGATCCCAAGTTACTGTTTATCAGGCACACAATGTAATGGAAAACAAACTAATACAAATATGTAGTACACCGACAAAAAAAGAAGATACGACTGTGAAAATAGCGGTGATGTCGCATCAGTGTAGCGGAGCAGAGACGAACTCACTTCAGCCGAGCTGCTGTTTTCTTAACTGAAGCGCTTCACTTGCGCTCACTGAGCTGACGGCTCTCTCGGTGTTGTAACATCTTCTAACGAATAACGTTACATTAATAATTCGCTGTTGATCCGACGGCTGCCGACAAACGACACAGACAGCAACATGAACAGGTTGGGAAATCTAGCGAGCTGAGGTAATCTGTGACATCGGGCACATCTGTAAGTGAGAAATGAGAAAATGCTACCGCGAAAATATGGATATAACCTTACCTTGTCGGTAAATAAGATGGGTTCTAGTTAATTCCTCGCCGGGTGTTGTTACTACTGAAAACAGCAAACGTATATTTAGCTAAGTGGACAGACACACTGCCCCTACCTCAACTAGTACTCGGATGTGACTTTGGGCGGAACTACACGCTGCGGCGCAGACACCACGGATGAGCCAATGGGAAGAGGCGATACATGCCACAGATAGGACATCCAGACAGGAGGGCTCACTCTTCTCCAAAACAATAAAGACGACACCCTGCTCCCAGAACACTGGGCCGACTTCCCTAAGGTATCAAGTGTACACAGCCCGAAAGTATTGTTACCGCATTCACAGCCAAATACTACGTGTTTATGATGGTTACAGTTCCCAAGCCAGAGCTGTTTCGGTCTTGGGGTAAAATAAAAGGCGGATAACGCATGTCTGGGAGTAGTCGCCCACTCTTGATGAGAATGAGGGGAGATAATTACATGAATCTTTTAAAATCAATGTAAAAAGTATTTCTGTCTTTTTAACTTAGGCCATTTTTATATTAATCTAGTCCATCCCCTCAAGGTCAAGGCGTGATGCATTGACTCTGTATACGCCTTCCAAAGACAACATACTGTATCATGTACTAAGGGCATAGGTTTGATCACAACATTGGCATTTGTAGTAGACCTCCTCTTTTCAATGTTGCACTTTGTAGACGGTCCCTGCGCACTCCTCGTCTCACAGCAGGCTGCACATTGAGATCAATGTTATATGTCTGGTGCAGAGGACAGCTTGTGTTCATAAAAATGGGCTTGTAGCTTGTTATCTACATTACTATGAAACAAAAGAGGCTTCGTTTGTAAATTAACAATGTTTCGCTATTGATCCGGAAACTTTGAATCTGTGAATATCTTTCCCACTTTACCGAAGTCAGCCTCTATAACACACCATTGTCAGCACACTGACCGACAGCTGTCGCCTCTGTGTCTGGAAGCAAATATGACATTTACCCGTAGCATGAGCTTTAGATCGCCCCCTCCATTCAGTCAGGCACATCGGGATATGTCTTCACTCTAAAGGTAATGCACACGGGTTTGCTCAAATATAGGAAGGGACACTCCTGTCCTCCCTTAATATTGGAAGGAATATTGATAGGGACATGTCCCTACGCCCTTGCCATCTTCCCTGCTCTTTAACCACGTGGCTCAAATTTTGGAGATTAATCGGTCAGAATTCCCATCGGTGTTCCATTTTAAGTCTGTTTATATAACTACATAACTCGGCTATGCAATAATAACATATTTAAATCAAAGCATGCAGGCAGTCGGGTTTTCGAGGCGTTTTCCCCCCAGAGACGACCCCCCATGCTGCTGTCCAGTGCAACTAGGATTGGGGTCCTAAACTCCACTACGCAACTGGAGGCTGAATGCTTTGCTCAGCGGCACTGGGCTACTACTGCCTCCAATTATGTATGGTCACAAATCGGGTGGGAGGAAAACGTGTAAAATCGAAGTGAATCGTGCAACCTTTGACTTCACTGAGTGACAACTGGATGCGGGATGAGAAGGATCAGCAGCAGCTCCGGGACGAAAGCGGATTTAGTGAAAGCCCTTGAGCCTATTAAGGCTGAGCGGAGGGGGAAACTGGGTTTTTAACCCTGTGACTCTGTGGACATTAAGACAGTCCGTTCCCCTGCAAGGACACATAGGCTACCATCGCTGGAATACTCGCTGTTTAAAATGTCCGGAGCTTTTAGACACATACGGCAGATCTAGTCATTTCTCATGCTGTGATTGGGCTCATCACTAGAATATTCCTCTCAGTTTCCATATCATATTAGAGGTTGTGTGAATATTTGTGAGGATGGGGTCAGCATGGCAGAAATACTTTAAAAAACTGGTCTAAACGTAGTTTCACTGAGTTTTTCCAAAATATGTTGCATATAGCCTAGTCTCAATTGGCTTTAATGGCATTTCAGTTAATATGTTTACTACATGTTGAAATAGCTGAACAAGACTTTTAAATGTAAAATCGTTTTTCCACATCTTTTCCAATGCCACTAAAATCAGGTCTATAAATAAACTTGGGTCTTATCTGTTTGATTTCATTTTCTGCTGGCACCAGCAGCTGAACAAATTTATTTCAAATGCAATGTAGCATAACTACCATTATCATCCATTAGGGAAGTTAAAGTCTGCTGCTGGGCTGAATAAGGTGTAACCACGTGGACTTAGGGTCTCTTTTCTCTGGCTAAGGCTCTTTCACTGCTTCTGCTGTTTTTAAAAATAAATGTGCATTCATCACACATTAAACTTTCACATCTGTGGTAGTATGGGCATCCACTGATGACATTTCCCCCCTTCACCACCAACACCAGCTCAGAGGGCACAACTCATGTCTCTTATAAGATCATTCCTACGACCCAGGAACTTCCAAGTCTTATATTGGCTCTGAGGAAAAGTGTCTCATGATGCAAGGAAAAGAGGCAAGTGAGGGAAACAACGGTGCTTATAGGAGACTTGAAATATACCCAGTGTGAACACACTCCAGAGTTGACTTAGCTGATTCTGATCAGCAGGGTTAGTCATCTCACAGTTCAGGCTTAACTTCGGAGCTCCTTAGACCAGTCTTCTTGAAACAGGCCCGCAAATTAACATGTCCATAGTTATTTATAACAATGACAGTTTATTTATGTACCAGCAAATCTGTTTGCATTGTTCTGACATCTTCCCTGCTTCTAAGCCAGACACTTACAGTAGCATACAATATCTGTATTTGGAGAATGGTTTCAATAACATATTTACAAACAAAAATACTGTAAATAAACAGAACAAACAAAAGGACAGGTCTTCTAGTATTTGTCATTGACAAAGCACAAGATGCTATGTTAAGAAGAGATGCCCACGTTACAGTTTTCGGTGAGACACAGGTCAAGTGCTACAGCAACAACAAAGTAAAGAGGAAATTTAAGCAAGGTTTGTGGTAACTGACAGACACACAAAGAATTAACAGATAAAACTGATGCACGAATGACTTTTGGGAGAAAAGCAGTACAACTAAAGACAAAATGGAAGTCATACTTGTTACCTTCTCCAGACAATATGAACTTCACAGTGTCATAAAACAAACCCTTAGGTCAAAAACAGAATTACTTGTCGAGACTGCATGTACAGCGCAGTCACTTACTGGATGTCCTTCCCAAACTTAGATCAAGAGTTTTGACGCACTACGGCATGACCGGTGATCAAAACTCAACGCTGGGGCATTTGTTAAGGAACAGTGACCATCTGAAAACATGTTTAAAACAAACAATTGCAAAGAGGTCATGTAGGTACAAGACCTCTATTGTAGTTCTGAATATAAAGCTTCTGCGTGTAAAGCACTGTGTACTGAGAAAGACAGGGCAACCTTAAGCAGTAGCTCAGACAAAAGGCATTCAGAGGGTTTGGAATTGCATGGGAACCACTGAAGTGTGATCTGGTCCTAAGGATTTTCTCCTGCAGTTGAGGTTACGTTTTGTATTTTAATCCTGATTCATGCTGCCAACGTTCCATTCCTGTTCATATATGACACTGGCTGGCTGCAGCACCACACAGAACCCTTTAAAAAGGAGAAACAGCTGCATAAATCAGGTCAGAGAGAATGTGAACAATCTGAGCCTTGCACTTCCATTGTTATCATCTTTACAGCCAGAGACAGTGAGCTCCCTTTGCTGCACTGTTCCCTGTGTGCTGTGTGGAGCCTGAGGCCAGTGCTGTTCTCTGGCGCCCTCATATGGAGCTGTGGAGGGCAATCTGCTGCACCTTGCCCAGCTGTGTCAGCAGACGTTTCATGCGGTGCTTGAGCTGAGGCAGGCGTGCCAAAGGTTCAGGAGGTTCCAGCTCTCCGGTGTAGTCCAACCAGCTCTCCAGCACTGAGGAGGAACCAGAGGTGAACACATGACACACTTCTTTTAGACAGGGGTTCTGCAGGTTTCATTTAAGACTTCAAGACCTTCTTAGACCACTCTGAACGCAGATCAAGACATATTTTCAGGGTGCAACTTCCCTACCACTTATAGTGAGTGACAGCGGTGCACAGGCTGTGCAGTGGTCGGACTGACTTTACCAATAACACCTGTAACCTGAGTGATGGGGACATGCAGAATATTTATTTGTCATGACTTATGAGCTGCTTTTGTATGTTTTTTGTGTGACTGTGTAATTATTGTACCAATTTGGAGTCAGATAAGCCATTCTCAGGGACCTCCTCTGCTCAACTCATCAACACCAATGACAAATAAATTATAAAACATGCTGTAATTCCTACATTTTTAGCAAGCAGTGAATCGTGGTTCAGGATTCGCTGTGGCGACCTCTAAGGGGAACAACCGAAAGTAATAGTAGTAGTGAATTGTGGTTAAGACAGGTAATTACAGAATTATAGATGCTTATGCTGATTTATTCTGGGATCTTGGATCTCAAACTGTTTTAAACTTTACTTAGTGGAGCAGTTATGGTCTGGAGCATTTTTAGATTTACATTGTGTTTTAGATTTTGTTAAGTCACCTGCCTACTGACTTTCAAGTTCTGCACATAGTAGAAATGAAGACGGTTTTTGTATGAGCATCATCAAAAGTAAATGTGTTTACATTTTGTGAGTGTGTTCAAGTTGAGCATTGGAGGACCTGTCCTTGACCATACCTGTATATTATTCAGGAATGACAAATGTCAGTAAAGCCGTTTACACTTGTGGAGCTGACATGTGCTTCTTTAGTAGCACTGTCACATTCTCAGCCATACCTAGTAGTTAATGCTCTGTGCCTTTACCTGATCAGTATGTCAGAACTGTGCTTGTTGGATAAAAATATAATATTGCTAACATCAAACACCTGACTGCTAACATTAGCTATCTGCATGGACTGATGGGTCACTGCTATATAAGCAGGCATAATATTCACTGTTATTAAAATCAAAGTTACAGCTCTTACCGTCCAGCTCCCTCTCAATGAAGTCCATCCTGTGTGACACCTCGTCCTGGACTACATCTATGTGATCCAGCAGGTTGATCTGCCACTGTAAATGCTGTCTGTTGTCTGCTGCCTCTCCAGCATCTCTCCCAATCTCTTCCCTCAGCTCAGTCTGGGACCACGATCCACCCAACAAAGCCTGGAGACAATGAAGTGAATTCATCAGACCAGATTTTCACTGGAATTCATTCTAAGGCAGAGTTCTCCTAAATAAACCAAACCATGAATCATGATCGCTGGTTAATCACTGAATCACTTGAGTGACTCAGATATGTTGCCTTGGCAACTTACCCACGTTTTAAAGTGTTCTGTTGTATCCTCTATAAACAATACTATGAACATAAACTCTGGAAGTCACTGATGAGTCACAAGGAGCACTGGTATGTAAGAAAGTGTGTGTGTGTGTGTGTGTGTGTGTGTGTGTGTGTTGCTAACAGCAGGAGGAAGAGACTGGAAACTTAGTAACTACAGTTAGGGTGTTTTCAGATTTGGTCCCTTTCAGCCCTCAAAGCAAAATCCAAGTGATTAGTCAGCATTTTTGGGGTATATGTGAACACTCCTAACACTCAGCCCCTCTGAAGCGAATGAAACCCTAACCACCTACCTATGTGGTTCGCACCCAAGGTTGTATGTCGCCTAATCTGTGGATTGTGAACACAAAGTGCTCTAAGTTTGCCACTGTGTTTTGTATGTAGGGCTGAAAACATGAGCAATCTATCGAATATCATATACAGATGGAAATATGTGGCTTTCCACTGCCCAGCTTGTAATTCTGTTATTTAAGTATGCTAGCAGTCTGAAGCCAGTGCACGGAGTTGACAAAATTATACAATCATGGGTTAATGACTTTTCATAAATGCAATCTGCAATGGTCAGAGCATCACCTGAAATGTCATTCAGAAGTTCACAGTTTCAGTTCAGAGTGCTCACAGCAGGGGCACATTTTAGTGATTTGGGGGTTGGGAGCAAAGTACCCCACAGTAAAAATATTGTCAAAGAAAAAGCAGTGCAAGCA